GTTAGTAATTTCTATTTTGTGCACTCACATATTAATATATTATATGTAGATATGCTATAAATAAAGTAGTCCTTTTTATGATCTAATAAAGTATTAAAGTTTGGAGCCTTAAAAGTAATTTTCTATTCATATGAGTTTACTTTTGTAACACCTTGTTATCTGAAAAAGCTAAAATTAGAAAGAACTAAATTGGAAATTGTAACATCTCACAATTTGATGTAACTAGGAAGAAGCTTATAATTGGAAATAGTCATTTTTGGAAAGAATGGAAATCTGGAAATTTGTTTAAGTTATGAAAAGTTGAGTTTTGGTCAACTTCAAACGGATATAACTCCTAGATCAGGATGATTTAGGTGTACTTCCAGATATGGTTGGAAGTCTCTTGGAATGATCTTTCCAATGCCGCCAAGTTTGCACGATTCCGAGTTGATATGAGTAAGTTATGATCTTCGGAAGTTGGATTGTTCGGATAAGGAAAGTCCAATCCGGATTTTGGAAGGGTAGTTTGGTCCTTTCCTTACCCAACTTAATTAATTCGATTTAGGAGTTGAATTGGGGTAAATTCATATTTTAGTCAGTTTTAGAAAAGTGAATTTCACGCTAGGGCTTGGAGAAAGGAGAAAAGAGGAGAAAGTAGAAGAATGTTCAAGATTCGTTCAAGATTCGTCGAGATTAGCTTGTGGATTTCGTCGGGGGTGATCCCTACAAGGTATGTGAGACCACATAGCATTGGGTCCAATCACTCACGCGCCAATCATGTTTAATTCAACAATTTCGTACTAAAAGAGTTAAAATTTCATGTTTTTGAGTTGTGTTCTTGAATTGTTTTCATTCTTGAACTTACATGTGATTGACAGGTTTTCTTGAGATGTTTTAGCAATGTTAAGAGTTGTTTCAAGTTAGATTCTAGAGTACATGTGTTGGGTATCTGAATCTATGAAACTATTGACAAAAGGAATCGATTTAAAATGATATAGGATCAGAAAATGAGTTGAAAACCTTGTCAGACGCACCTGGGGAGGACCAGGCATGTTGCGCCCCCATAGCACCAGGAGGTTTGGGAGGCGCACCTGCAGTGCACCCAAAGTGAGCCCCAGAAAGTTGGGACCTGACGCGACGCGCCCCGGATGCGCCGGGATCGTCGTTATTCACCTAGTTTTTGTCATTTAGTCTGTTTAAGCCTTTCTAAAGTGTATTAACACTTCCTATTGATTCTAACTACTCTAAATGACTTTTAAACATCTAGAAATCATCCAGAAACATGAATCATAACCTTGAATCCATAAATTATCGCATCTTCATTTGTCAAAATTTTCTCTCTCTAATTTCTCACTCTAAAAAAGCGCTCAAAACAGCAAAAAAAACAACTACTTTTCCAAAATCTGCTAGCACTGTCGAAATGGCGCGTGAGCCGCCGGCAGAGCTCCCCAGGCCACCGGATAAAGTGCAATCGGAGCGCCTGGATGCGAGCGACAAAACCCACCCAGCCACTCTCTCTAATTCATCCCACAACTCCACGAATTTGCAAAACACAGACGCGATTAACACAACGATTTCGGTTAAAGAGTTGGAAGGGACGCGTAATATTATTTCCCCAAGCGATTCTGTTTTGATTCGTGAAAAAGTAATGGGATATATGGAATCCCCTAGTCTCGATCTATATCATAGTAAAAACTCAATTGATTCCACCATCCCAATCGACGAGAATCGTGAGGCGATTTGCGCGAAAAGTGCGAACGAATCGCCAGAGCTGCGCCTTCAATTTCGAGATACCTCAAGTCAAAATCGTGCTGTTTCAACCACTGGGGATTACTCCCCACATGATGAGATTCATCTCGCAGAAATTTCAAGAAAAATGGACGGTGGAATCTCTGGCGGGAAAGAATCCGGCGAACTTCGAACCCAGGTCAGCGGAGGTTATGAAAAAACTGGGAAAGGAATTTTTTCCCCACCTTTGGACATACATCTTTCAGACATTTCAAGCAATTTGGGAGGAGCAAAAACCAACAACAATCAATCAATCCAACCGGACGAAGCTGTAATGAATTTGAGCAAAGGAACGAGTAGGAAGGCTCAAGATATTGTTAGGAATAATTCCTTCCCTGATCAAGCTGCAAGAAACAATGACCAACTAAGTGTAATCCATACCTCAGGGACACATACAATACATGAAGAAGCAAATCAAATACAGGAAAAGTAAATGAATATACAACATACCAATGTTCAGAGCAAGAGGAACCACATTACAGAAAGCTCAGCTGCAAAAGCTCAATCATCGAATTTCTCCTTTGGAATTAGAGGTAACTCAATGAACATAATTTCTAATGCTACTCCTTCTGTAATGCAGGACACAAACTAGGGTAAGACATTGGAGAAAGCCGGACTGGATCAGCAGCCAAAGAATGGACAAACAGGTCAAAGTCGCCAAATTGAAGGTAAAGAGGTGCAAACAGGACACAAAGACAAAGAAGGGAAAAAAATCAGAATAAGGATGCAAATCAGCATGGAGGGACTAGTCGAACTCAACAGGACAACACTACAGCTACTATGGAATATCAGAACAACTTTCCGAGGATCTCCAACAACTTTGCTAGGTATGAACCTAATCTCCAAAAGAGTAAGAATGTTGATAAACAGATTAGCAATAATGTAAATCAAGGTAGTACAAAACTTGGGAACAATCAACAGCAAAGTCGAGCTCAGAATTCTAAACAGGATGTTATCCCTGAACCTGCTCCTTTCACTATTGTGCAATCCTTTGCTGCTCGCTTACGATATAATCAATCCAAAAATGAAACTCCTATCGTGTTGAATAGTCCTGTACACACCACAAGACAAGGACTACCTACTGTACTTCTGGACGAGGATGATTATAATATCAAATTGGCTGAAAGTTGTAAACACACTCTAGTTGGCAAATTCACCAACACCATGCCCAAAATGGAACTGATCCGGAAAAGCTTCACCTTACAAACTCAATTAACTGGAGGGGTGAAAATAACTCATTTTAATTCTAGACATGTGTATATCGATCTTGATAATGAGTTTGACTATGTTACGGTTTGGACTAAGCAAAGAATGAATATTGAAGGTCAATTAATGAGAATTCAAACTTGGACCCCTGATTTCACACCTAAAGAAGAAACCCCTATAGTTCTTATATGGGTGGCACTTCCTAAACTTCCATGGCATTGTTACAATAAGGTCCTATTAACGACTATTCTGAGCTCTATTGGCAAGGTATTATACCTTGATTCACCATCCACCCAAAAAACTAGAGGCAGCATGGCTAGAGTGCAGATTCAAATTGACCTTACCAAGGAAAGACCTCCCCATGTCTGGCTGGGACTCAAGAATTCTGATCCCAACAGAGGGAGGTGGCAAAAAATTCAATAAAAAGGTATTCCAGACTACTGTCATTACTGTAAACACCAAGGGCATGTGGATAATGTTTGTACTATCAAGAGAAGAGATGAGGAGTTCCAAAGGAGAAAGGAAATAGAGGCTGAAAAGAAGAGCAAGACTAAGGGGGAACAAGAGAAAGGAGGCAATAAAAGTCAGGTACAAGACAATGGTAAATCAGAGAATAATACAAGTGCTTAGGCTACACAGCAATCTGATCAGAGAGGGGACTACAGACTTGATGAAATTATAAGACAACCTCAAGGAAAAACCCATCCTAAAGCTCAACAGCAAACTCACATTACCTAGGTCCAGGTTCACCAAGGGCAGGAGGTAGGTGATCAAGAAGAACACTGGCAGATCCAAAGAAAGAAGCAAAACAAAAATCAGGACCAATCCTATCCCAAGACTGCATGGAGACCTGTCTCACCACAACAAAAAGGAGCTAAGGACAGCAAGCAACAGGAGACACAACCATCGGGTATACATCCTACAATTCTTACTCATAATAACTATATTAACCTTGAAATGCAGGAATTACAAGCTACAGACAAAGAGAAGGAAGGTAACAGCAACAAGACTACACGTCAAGGTAGTCATCCAATGCAAGGATCAGATAAGGATCCATCTCTAATAAATCCACACAATAATACAACAAGGCAAAAAGAACAGGCTGTAACCTCTAAAAATAACAACACCTCAGGTATTGACTCTGTAATCCCATCCCCTAACCCACATCATAGTACTGATATTAATGTTGCTGAGGAAGTTGCTGGAGGTATGGAAGGGAGGGTACAAGAGACACACACTAATTTGCAGGAAGGGGCATCCAAAGAGGGGAGGTAATTGACTCATGTTCTGCATGAGGTTGAAACCTATGACCATAGGATTGACTCTAGAGCCCCTGCTACCTCTATCTCAAAGCAAAAGACAGCTAATCAACATGCAATTCAGGAAGGGAAAGAGATGAATACTGAAACAGAACAATAGAAAGACAGAACCAACAATAAATCAGGAGGAAAGCTGAGCAAAAAGAAAAGAGATGCTATGAAAAAGAGGCAGGAAAAAGGTAGTGAACTGGAACAAGTTTTAACAGAAAAAGGCCAACAATTAGAGAAATAGATAGAAAACAAGGTCAAGAAGGGGAGACCCATACAAGATGATTATGGAGCTTTGAGTTCAGAGGATGAACTGGATCCTGACAATCAATCCATAGATGAGTATGATGAAGAGGAAGAGGAAACTAGTAATCTTCTAATTGAAGCTTTTGGCTCCACCTTTAACACTGAGTGGTCAGAAGAGGTCCAGGAACTCACTGAGTAGCAAGGCCTGTCCCCCAGAGGTAGGAAGCAAAACAGAAACAACAAGCAGCCGGCTACCACCAGTATCTCAGCTACTTCTAGCAGACCCATCACAAGGTCCAAATCAAAAGGTTTTTGATGATTAAGGCCATCTGCTGGAATGCTAGGAGTATCAATACCCAAGGATCTCTGGAGAGACTTCAAACACTCAATAAGATGCATCAGTTAGACATAATTGTTGTACTTGAGCCCTTTGCAGACAATTCCCAGCTCAACACTGTGAGAGTTCATCTCCAAATGGAACATGCTATTAGTAACTCTAATGGAAAAATTTGGCTTTTTTGGTCTAATACGATCACTGGTAATATTCATGAAAATAGTGAGCAACATATCATAGGAGGTTTCAAGCATTCTGATCTTACTGAAGGGTTCATGGTGTCCTTCATTTATGCTAAGTGTAAGGAACATATGAGAAGACCACTGTGGGACAGTCTATTGCAGTATGCTAGCTTGGACATCCCTTGGTGTACCATTGGAGACTTCAATGTTATCACTAATATAGAGGAAAAGCTTGGGGGAATGCCCTACAACATGAATAAGATCTTTGAGTTCATCAGTGTGATTGAATCTTGTAGCCTAACTGATCTAGGCTTTACAGGTATACCTTTCACTTGGTGCAACCAAAGGACTGCACAGGCTAGAGTTTGGAAGAGGTTGGACAGGTCCATGGTCAATGACAAATGGTTAGAGATCATGCCACAAACTACTATTGAACATTTATCCTCAGTTGGCTCTGACCACAGTCCTCTGTTGATGGAAATGGTTAGGAAGAATGAAAACCACATCAAGTATTTCAAGTTGCTTCATTGTTGGGTGGATAATGCTAATTTTATGGAGACGGTTTAAAAGTGCTGGGAGAGGGATGTCACAGGTAATCCTATGTGGCAACTTCATCAGAAAATGAAGAGGCTGACATACACTCTTAGCAACTGGTCAAAGAATGAATATGGAGATATTTATGCCAAAGTGAAAGAATTTGAAGAAACTATCAAGAAGACTAAGGAGGAACTTCTTACACATAATACTGAAGCACTTAGACAGCAGTTACACCTCATGAATGTCAACTATATTAGATATTTGAAGTTGGAGGAATCCATTCTTAAACAAAAGGCACAACTCCAATGGTTTAAGGAAGGGAATGCCAACACCAAATACTTCCATGCTTTGATGAGGGGTCGAAGAAGAAGACTTTTTATACATAAAATCTGTACAGGGAATGATGTGTGGGTTCAATGGGATGAGCAGATTGCACAAGCAGCCTGTGCATACTTCCAGGAAATGTTTACTGGTCACAATCGCAGAATAGATGAAAGAATTCTTCAATAATTACCTACTTTAGTTACGCCTAAACAGAACCAGAAACTGCAGGAAATGCCTACTTTGGAGGAACTAAAGCAGGTGGTGTTTGCCATAAACCCAAATTCAGCTCCTGGTCCAGATGGTATAGGTGGCAAATTCTACCAAGCATGCTCGAACATCATTAAATAGGATCTGTTAGCTGCTGTACAACACTTCTTTTGTGGTCACATTATGCCCAAGTTTATGTCACATGCATGCTTGGTTTTGCTTCCCAAAAAGGAACAGCCTAGCAATTTTTCTGACCTCAGTCCTATTAGTCTCAGCAACTTCTCTAATAAGATCATTTCCAAACTTCTATGCATGAGACTAGCTGATATCATTCCTCTGCTCATATCAGACAATCAATCCGGATTTGTGAGAGGGAGGAGCATCACAGAAAGTATCATGCTTGCACAAGAAATCACTCATGACATCAAGAGGCCTAAAGAAGGAGACAATGTAGTAATAAAACTAGACATGACCAAAGCTTATGACAGAGTGTCTTGGTCATTTACTTGTTTGGTACTGAGGAGATTGGGTTTTGGGGAGCTCTTCATTGACCTAGTGTGGAGAACCATGAGTAACAATTGGTACTCAATCATTATTAATGGCCACAGACATGGTTTCTTCCACTCAACTAGAGGCCTCAAACAAGGTAATCCTCTTTCTCCGGCCCTATTTATTTTAGGTGCGGAGGTTTTATCAAGAATGCTTAACACTACCCAGCAGAATCCTATGTATAGAGGTTTTAACATGGAGTCCAAAGGACCCAAGATTAACCATCTAAGTTTTGCAGACGATGTGATTATTTTTACTTCTTCAAACACAAACTCTATGAGACTCATCATGGCCACCTTGGAGGAATATGAACACACTTCTGATCAGCTTATCAACAAAGAGAAGAGCCATTTTATGGTCCCCTCAAACACTCCCCAAGATATCATCAACAACATACAGGAGGTCACAGGTTTTTCACAGAAGGACAGCCCAATCACATACCTTGGCTGTCCTCTATACATTGGCAGACAAAGGATTATTTATTATTCACAACTTGTTGAGAAAGTATCCAAGAAGATTTGTGGATGGCAGGCAAGGATATTAAGCTTTGGAGGCAAAATCACACTAGTCAAGCATGCTTTGCAATCCATTCCTATTCACACCATGGCTGCTATCTCACCTCCCAGTACTACTATTAAATAGATAGAGTCTATTATTGCTGATTTTTTCTGGGGAAGAGATCAGGACCATAGGAAATACCATTGGGCATCACTTCAAACCATGAGCCTGCCATATGATGAAGGAGGTGTGGGGATCAGAAGAGTCACGGATATTTGTACTTCTCTTCAATATAAACAATGGTGGAACTTCAGGGCTAAAGATTCCTCAAGTCCAAATACTGCCAGCGAGCCAATCCAGTTGCAAAGAAAGTGGACACTGGTCAGTACTTAGTGTGGAGATATATGACAAAGAATAAAGACAAAGTGAAGGATCATATCACATGGAAGATTAAGTCTGGGAGCTGCTCTTTTTGGTGGGATGATTGGTTAGGAGTAGGTACTCTTGCTAGGTACACCACCAACATTTCCAGCCTTAACAATGCTACTATTGCTCATTTTCTAGTCAATGGGGAATGGAATGAAAGAAAGTTGCGACAACAGGTGCCACCACTGCTCATCCCTCACATTTTGAACACTAAATTTCAGTATCAACAAGGAGATAAAGACAGTGCAGTCTGGAAGCCAAACGATTCTGGAAACTTTTCTTGTGCTTCAGCATGGAAAATTTGCAGACTTAGGAAGAGTAACGCAGTGAACAATTTACAGATTTGGCATAAGAATATCCCCTTCAAGATGTCCTTTCTCGTTTGGAGAGTAGTTAGATATAAACTACCAACTAACGAAAAATTGGCAACCTTCGGAGTGGAGCCAGTGAGATGCTTCTGTTGCATGCAGAAAAGATGGGATGAAGTGGACCATATCTTCAATCAAGGACCATTTGCAGCTCATATCTGGACATTATTTTTGAGTCCAATAGGGGTTACTTTCCAACAGTCCTCATTGAGTAATCATCTCTTGAGATAGAGTAATATCCAAGGAAAGAATGAAACCCACAAAACTCTCATCGCAACTCTTCCCATCATGATCTGCTGGAACCTGTGGAAGAACAGATGCTCAGTTAAATACGGGGGAAAATATCCAGCAGCAGCAGGGTCAAATACATGATCCTCAAAGATATTCTCCACTTGTTCAACATTGTTTTTCCTTACATTTATTGACCTGTACAGTGGATAGAAGTAGTGGACCTGATCGAGAGTTGCAAACATGATGTTAAGGTTACTTCTGTGACCTGGAAAACACCCCATCCTAGCAGATACAAGCTTAACACAGATGGTAGTGCTCTACATAACCCTGGGAAGATAGGAGGGGGAGGCATCCTACGAGATGAACAATGAGAGATCATTTATGCATTTGCTATACCTCTTGGTGAAGGGACCAATAATCAGGCAGAAATTCAAGCTGCCAGTTATGGGCTAAACTGGTGCATTCAGCATGGATACAATAATATTATTCTCGAAGTAGACTCTGAGCTTCTAACTAGGTGGATATTGCAAACCTCTACTCCCCCTTGGAGGATTCAAAAATTTGTACAGGAATTACAAAACCTTGCTAGCCAATGTGAATTTTTCCAATGTGATCATATCTACAGAGAGGCCAACAGCACTGCCGACTTCCTGTCCAAGCAAAGTCACAAAAAGGACATCATCCAACATTACTACACTTACAACCAATTGCCACAAGCAGCACGAGGTAGCTATATTCTCGAGAAGATGGGAGTTCAAAGTTTCAGAAGGAAGAGGTTAAAAAGAGTTAAAAAGCCCCCTTGATTTAGGATAGTTTTTTGAATATGTTCTTTTATTTATTCTTTCCTTTGTAAGGGGAGAGTCTCCCTTATTTATGTTTTCCTAGAATCTTTGTATTGAGAGGAGTCCTCTCCTTAGGTGCATAGTTCTAGGTTTTTCCTTTATAGTATGGGAATGAGTTGACTAACCTTAGTAGGTAGGTCGACTTATGACCTACCATAGGCTCAGAGGTTAGGTTTATGTCCCCCTCCTTGTACTATTTTTGAGCTCTTTTGAGCTTTTATTTATGCTAAGGCCTGGGGGTGTTGCTAACCCCCTGACCCCCCCAAGGGTCGTTCAAATAATCATAATAAAAAATCCATAAATTCAAATTCAAGGATAGTTAAGAGCCAAGTCTAGGAAGTTCATAGAGTCTTTTCAAGAAGTCTTTTGCAAATGCTTTTAACTTTGTTTTAAGACTTAAAGTTCAAGTTGAGTAAAGAGTAAAGAGTATAGCTTGAAGTTCATTTCTTCAAAACTATATCGGGACTATGTATCCCCAAAGGGTTTAAAATGTTTTCACATTTAAACAAGAAAGGAAACCTCGATTTCCAAAAAGCCTTTGGGCTAGTTTTCAGAAAAGAGTAATCGCTTTCTAAATGAAGCAAGAGGGGAAACTTCGATTTCCAAAGATAGACTTTGAGCTATGTTTTTGAGTACTAATCTCAAATCACAGAAGGAGTATGTTTTTAAACATAAGAGATAATATTATATTTTTGGGAGTAGTATTGAGCACTGATATAGGGGACAATTCAAACAACTCACAGCCCCCATAAACCATGTAGCCACCATGGGTAGAAAAGGGTCACACTTTTTAGATGATTCCTTTAGTGCTTTTTAGCATAGACTAGTTGATCCACTTAGTGAGTTAGGTTCTATACCCCCGGCAATGTATAGGATGATCTTTGGCAGCGTGAGGTAAAACGATGTATCATCACTATAACTCTTAAGTGAAGGTTGTCGGTTAGAGAAACTCCCAAAACAGTATTTTATATTTTTATATAAAAACAGAGTTTATATTGTATCTTTGCATAGATACAGAGTTATTATTGTATTTCTAAATACACAGAGTTGACATCATGTTTTAAAAAACTTTTCCTTATATTGCACTTATTTTTAAACTGCTTTATATTGAAATGAGTTCAGTTATGTTGAGTTGAGTTGAACTAGGTAAGTTCTTTAGTTCCTTTCAGATTCTTTTCAAGCTTAAGTTGTGCTTAGCATTCCAACTCCCATACTCGTACATTCAATATACTAATGCCAGTTCGGCCTACATCGTCTTATGATGCAGACGCAGGTACCCAGGATCATCATCCAGCGCATCGTTGATCCAGTTGAGCTTCAGAGTTGTTGGTGAGCCTCCTTGCTTTCCGGAGGATCCCCTTTTTCATTATTTTATCATTTTAGTTCATTAGGATGTTGGGAGTCTTGCCTCGACATCCATCTCAGTTATTAGAGGCTTTATAGATAGACAGTCAGTTAGTTCATTTGTCTTTACTTTGTTATTTGCTTATGTTCAGAATTGAGTTGTCACTTTGGCTAAGTTAAATGTTTATTTCTAAAACATTATGAGTTCAGTTTGAGACAGTTGAGTTATTTAGCATATGAATACTTTTCTTAATGCTTAAAGTCGTCCGCTAAGTAAGTAAGCCGGACTAAGGATTCTCTTGGGGCTAACAATGGTTCTCGAATGCCGGCCATGTCCAGGGTGTAGGCTTGGGGCTTGAAAGAAATAACAAAATCTAAAATATTGCAAGTTATGCTTAAGTTGTGAGTTTTGAGTCAACTTCAAACGACCATAACTTTCAGTACAGGATGAGCTAGGTGGCCCATAAGATATCAAATGAAAGGTCTTGGAATCCTCTTTCCAACTCCACCGAGTTTGCTACATTGCTAGCACGGGCCCAACATTTGATATTTTCAAGTTGTGGATGTTGTGCATAATCATTTGATGACGAAAGATAGCAGCGGACAATAAAAAAAAGGTTCAAAAGTAGCACATCAAAAAAAAATTAAGCTAAAATTTATATGTTGATATGATTGATGCAAGGAAAAGATGATTATGTGCAAAAGTTGATCAATGATAGAT